GGGGCAGCCCAGGCGCGCCTGGGATGCCCCGCCGCCTGTATACCCGCTGTATAAGACAACCCCCGATTTTTGGGGGATTTTTTTTAGCATCAAAATTCATCTTATACGCTGGAAAATACGGTATTTATACACAGTGGAATTGTCATTGGGCCAGAAAGCAAGGAAGTGAGGAAATAACTCTGTAGCCTGGTAGTTAGGACGCCTACCTAGGAGACCATGGGACCAGTCCCCTACACTGTGCCTCCGTTTCCCCAGGGAAATGGGGGAAATGATAGTGATTGTTGTACCAAATAAAAGCAAGCAGGATCTTATGAGGGGGATAAGGCAAAAAGCCACATTTATTGTAAGGATAATAATAAAAAAATAAAGAAAAGATAGAAGCAAACAACGTTGTTTAACTACTTAACCCTTATACATATAAACATTCATTCATCCATTCATTCAGGTTCTGTGTATTGTTATAGTTACCAGCCTGGAAGTTGCTTGTGACAGAATACTGGCCAGGTATTCTGTACACAAGTGATGGTAGTGGGGAGCGAAGTCCTGATCAGATGCGCATCTGAAGCTCCTGGTAGGCTGGCAGCAGAACCTTGAACTCTGATTCCATAGTTTTTTAGTCCAGCTCTTATAGGAATTTTTTCCTATGCCAGTCTATGGAAATTGCTGCATCATTCCGATGTCTCCAGGGTGGCTGCCAGGTGCTCATCAGTGATCTCATCGGGTGGACCTCCAGTACTTGGTTTTCTCCACTTGACACCTTTTGGTTGCACTGGCACCTGACGCCTTCTTCAGCCCTTTGTTGCTGTATTCTCAGGCTGGCACCTCTCAGAACCATTCACTCATCATCCAAGCACTCTCTCTCTCTTACATACATTCCTTAATTAATGTTTCCCATGCAATATTTTTGTATAATAATAACTTTACATATATCAGAGTTGTAGTTACAAAAAGTTTCAGGGTGGTATTGCTTAAAACATTCTCTGAGTGCTGAGTAAAGTTACAATGTTTTAAAGAGAACAGGCGTCAATTAAGTAACAATGCCCTTAGTCAATTACAGGGCTTGGCTCCCATAGCAGAGTTAGTGGCTTGACAATGCATTGTTACAATGTATCTCTGCAATGTCAATTTCAAGCAGCCCCTTGCACAAGCTTGAGCATGCCCTGGGACACAGGGGGGGGCTGTTTCTGGCTACATAGGATTATATTCTTAACAGTTCTAAGTTACATGACCTATTACATTATATTCTAAAGGGGCAATAATAATAATAAATCTAAACATTTAACAATCTTAACTAATAATAAGAATAAGAATTAATAATCAATCTAAACACTTTAAGTTGTGGGGAACAAATTATGGGGAGTCCCTTCCATTTGGGGGAATCACATTTTTAATACATTGATATGTTATCCCTACATGATTGCTTTTGTAAAGCACTTTGAGATCTACCAATGACAAAAGTTATACAAGAGCTAGATATTATGTGTTAATCAGTTGTCTCATTTGATTGGATTTTATTGTATGCTTACTTGCAGAGTCAAAAGGAACAGAATGGAGGAGAAGCTGAGGCCAATGGAAGAGGGAAGGGAATTGACTGTGCTGCTCTCACGTGCATGGTGCAGCTGGCACAGATTATTGTTGGAGTGGGTCTGGGGTTCTTGGTCAGTGCTGCGGGCAGTGTAATAGTAGTTGTGATTTGTGCATCTGCTGTGGCATTAATAGGCTGTTGCTTTGTTGCTTTTTTTGTCCGATATGTGGAATAAAAGAGTATGTAGCTGACGGAAGAAATCTCCATCGGAACATTTTTGTTCTTGATCTGTATCCATGTGGTGCAATTTCTACAATTGTATTTTATAGCACCCTCTTCTTTAATTGGCTGGAATGGTTAAAATTCCAGGGAATTATTTTTCCACAGGGTGGCAGTACTTAGTAAAATCAGTGGCCTCACTTTTCAAGCTGTAAGATCTCTCCATGGCTTTCCTTTCTCTGCCCCAATTTCATGTTCACATGTAAGCCACTTTTATACATGGCAGTGTAAGGCTTTTCATGATTAGTGGTAATGCCCATTATGAGCCAAACTGGAGAAGATAAGAGATTAAATGTGTGTCAAAAAGTATGTACCCAGTAAGGATGAAAGTGGGGGTTACTGATCCCAAACTCTAAGGATGTACTTTTAAGATGGAGGGGAGGAGGGCATTAACTTGGAATTATAGTCCCGGGGAGGTGTCAAGGAGTCACACCAGTGCTTAATTTGTGCCAGGGCTGAGTCCCAGCACTTCTAGGGTTGGCAGTTCATAGCCCTGGCACCTCTGGACTTATTGCATCAGTTATGAAAGTAAAAAAAAAAAAATTGCTTGAGCCTCCAGCACCTCCATTACAGATTAAGCACTGGTTACAGCCGTGTCATTCCATTATTGCCAAATGAGACAGGTGTTCTGGGTAGATGAGGAGCAGGCATGGTGTGGAAATGGGAGATCTTGGCGTAGAAAAGATTGAAAAGGTATATCCTACTGCTGGGCAGCTTTATGCTGTAAATTGTGCTTTATATAAATGTGAAACAAAAACATAAACCAAGATTTTCAAACCTGAGTGCCTAGATATGGGCTCTTACATCCGTATTTAGGCTCCTAAATGGGGAGTCAGTGGAAAGCTGCTAGGAACAGAGCACCTTTGAAAATCTAATTATGTGTTTACATGCCTAAAATTAGGCACCCATATTTTAAAAATCTTGGCCAAAAATTCTAAATTTGTGAGCCACCTACAGTGTTCAAACTGAGTGATATAGTATGTATCTTAACAATGAATTCAGAACTGTTTGCGCTCTTTTTCTGCACATAAGGGTCTAACTTAATTACATTCTTGTTTTGCTGCTTTCAGAATATTATTGTGACTTAATTCAATTCCACAAAGCATTACTATGAATTATTCAATGTATACACCTCAAACCAGTCTGTTAAATCCTGTAGGCAAACTAGTATAGTTGTAGAATAGTGATAGAAATAGTGATAGTATAGTTGTATTGAGTACAGATTAAAGTGTACATTTTATTTTTCATTAAAACACCAGAATTTGTTACACTTTAAGCTTTTCCTGAATCATTCCTTCTATATTCAAGAAAGTTTCAAATTGGACCAATAAAGGGTTAAGAGTAAAGATATCTGAATGAGCTTTAGAAAATTGATTTTGCATTCCCTAGTAATTGGAGTCAATGGGAATATGGGGTACTTAGGAGACACCAGACCTGACCTGTTATTAAGATGTATTCCTGGCTAAAATACATCCAAAAAGAGCATTGAGTTGCTTGCTTCCAAAATTTTGATTTTAAAGTGAAGTATCTTCATTGGTGATGTGTGTCTTCTTCTCTGGTGGCGTTCCTATCCATGCCCCAGGGTAAGTGCTCAGCCACCTTAAGCCCTCCGTCAATACAATATTTTGATGAAATCCCACAGGGAGGGATTGTTGCCACATTTGTTTCTAAAAAGTAATGTATGGCTCTTATTAGCACCATTAATTCCAATTTGTTATTGACTTTCAGCACAGCAAAGTACCCTTAAGCAATATGACATCATAGCCCTATGAATGTTGCTCAGTTTTTGATCTGAGGGCTTGTGTGCATTTGTATTGACATGCCACTCAGATGCATTCGCTTATGTTTTTCAGTTCTTCCAAACACTTCCCACTGTGACTGGTTTAATCATTGAAGGCCTCTTGGGCTGCATCTCAGGGACAGCAAAGCCCTGAAAGGCTAACTGATGATGGATCCCAGCTGGGCAGGGGCAGCAGCAGGGGCAAGCTGTGCTTGTAGAAAGCCAGCAAGCTGAGAGCAGAAGAGGGCTGCAGGGAAAGTAGCATTCAGTCTCTCCCTGGGAAAAAGGGTATGTGTCTGGAGCTACACAGCCTGGCAAGATGTCGAAGAAAGGAGTTGTCTACAACTATTCCTTGGGAGGAGAGAGTTTGGACTGATAAACCCAGAAGAGGGAGCTGAAGATAAGAGCAGGGAAGTAGGAATGAGTCTAGGGAAATAGCAGCAGGATTTGGAAGCAAGCAGCCTGGAGTTACTTGACAGAGGGTCCCTGAACTGGAATGTGGAATAGGAGATAAGCCTGGTTTCCCTGCCAGCCATCAAGAAAGTAGTGTAGGACCAGGACTTTGAGCAGAAGATTGTCTAGAATGGCATCAGAGAAACTGAGCCAATGGGACTTTGATACCCCGGAAAGGAAAAACTATAAAGGGAGCTAGTCAGAGGATTGTCATGTGAAGTGAGAGCTGCAACTCCTGGAGAACAAGGGGGCAAGGAGATGCCATGTGAACTATCAGATCCAAGTGGAGTTAATCCTCAAATCTAGCCACAAGGAGGTGCCCAACAATAAGTGAATCCTGTGAAGTCATTTATCACAAGTCCCTTGGAGGTCAATTAACAAAGGCGTTTCCTTGCTGACATTTGGGACTTCTGTGAATTATTATACTGGGGAATTCCATTCTAACTCCTTGGGCATTTACTTCCCCTCCATGTTGTTCTCATCCCTCCAGACAGCCTAGCGTATGACAAACTCTACCATTGCATGGCTGCAATTAACCGCCCCGCCCCTTATTATCTCAGCCGTTTGGAATCAGTGGAATCAGGCTGAAGGTTCTGCAGCATGATCCCCTCTCCCACCTGATTTTGCTGAAGCCCCTTTATGAATGCTGTGTTGCATCGGAGTGCCCATAGCCAGTGGTGGGACAGAAACTATAAAACATCCTTTACTTCTTTAAGGGTACGTCTAGACTACAGGCTTTTATCGACAGAAGTTTTGTCGACAGATACTGTCGACAAAGCTTCTGTCGACAAAGAGCGTCTAGACTACATTCAGTTCTGACGACAAAGCAAGCTGCTTTGTCGACAAAACCCTGTAGTCTAGACACAACCCTAGATGCAATAACACCTTCTGTCGACAGAATTCTGTCGACAAAAGGTGTTATGCCTCGTAAAATGAGGTTTACCAGCATCGACAAAACTGCTGAGTTCTGTCGACGTTATGTTGACAGAACTCAGCGGTAGTGTAGACGCAGGTATAGTGTTCTCGACAAAAGTCCACTTTTGTCGACAAAACTGTAGTGTAGACACACCCTCAGACTCCAGAATAATAAGAACATAAGAACGGGTTAGACCAATGGTCCATCTAGCCCAGTATCCTCTCTGCTAACAGTGGACCATCTAGCCTAGTATCTTGTCTGCTAACAGTGGTCAATACCAGATGCCCCAGAGGGAGGGAACACAAAAAGTAATCCTCATGTGTTCCCTCTCCTGTCTCCCATTTCCAGACAAACAGAGGCTAGGGACACCATTCCTACCTGTCCTGGCTAATAGCTATTGATGGACCTAACCTCCATTAATCTATCTAGCTCTTTTTTGAACCCTGTTAAAGTCCTAGCCTTCACCACATCCTCTGGCAAGGAGACTCAGAAATTGACTGCAATGAATGAAGAAAAACATCCTTTTGTTTGTTTTAAACCTGCTATGTATTAATTCCATTTGGTGACCCATAGTTTTTATATTGTGGGAATAAGTAAATAACATTTCCTCCTTCACTTTTTCCTCACCAGTCATGATTTTATAGACCTCTATCATAGCCTCCCCCGCCTTAGTCTCCTCTTTTCTGAACTGGAAAATCCAAGTCTTTTTAACCTCTCTTTATATGGGACTCATTCTAAAACCTCTAATCATTTTTGTTGCCCTTTTCTGAACCTTTTCCAATGCCAATATGACTTTTTTGAGATGAGGTGACCACATCTGTACTCAGTATTCAATATGTAAGTATACCATGTTTTTATATAGAGGCAATATGATATTCTCTGTCTTATTCACTCTCCCTTTTTAATGACTCCTAACATTCTATTTGCTTTTCGGATTGCCGCTGCACAGTGAGTGGATGTTTTCAGAGAACTATCCACAATGACTCCAAGATCTCTCTTGAGTAGTTGGAGCCAAATTAATCCCCATCATATTGCATGTATAGTTGGGATTATTTTTACCATTGTGCATTACTTTACATTTATCGATATTAGATTTCATTTGCCATTTTGTTGCCCAATCATTTAGTTTGGTGAGCTCTTTTTGAAGCTCTTCACAGTCTACTTTGGTCTTAACTATCTTGAGCAGTTTAGTATCATCTGCAAATTTTTCTACCTGACTGTTTACCCTTTTCTCTAAATCATTTATAAATAAGTTGAATAGGATTGGTTCTTTGGGGGACCCAACTAGTTACCTTGCCCTACTCTAAAAACTTACCTTTTATTCCTACCCTTCATTTCTTGTCTTTTAACTACTTATCAATCCATGAAAGGACCTTCCCTCTTATCCCATGGCAACTTACTTTACATAAGAGCCTTTGGTGAGGGACCTTCTCTAAAGTATACTATATCCATTGGATACCCCTTGTCCACATGTTTATTGACCCCCCTCAAAGAACTCTAGTAGATTAGTGAGGCATGGTTTTCCTTTACAGAAATCATGTTAACTTCCCCCAATAATTATGTCCATCTATGTGTCTTACAATTTTATTCTTTACTATAGTTTCAACTAATTTGCCCAGGACTGATGATAGACTTACTGGTCTGTAATTAGCAGGATCACCTCTAGAGACCTTTTTAAATATTCCTGCTTAAGTGTCTCCTATAGAAAAATGTATTTAGCATCCAGCTAAAAATACAAATATCCTGGTTAGACAAATGAAAAAATTCCATGTGTGTGCATCTTAAAGAAAAGCTTTTTAAAAGGCACCAAAATCAATCTAAAATATTACAGGTCCTAAGTAGGAAACAAAGGTTCACTTCAGCACTTTGAAAATGTTACAGGTATCAAACATGTTCACTGTAGCACCATTCATTCCAAGGGTTCCACCAGTTCTGCCCTATTACTTCATTTCAATGCATGGACCAAATTATAAATAGCATCAGTTAATGTTTTTATTAGGTGCCTGATTGGTGCTTTTAGCTCAATAACATGGGTTATGAAGTCAAGAAAACAGTGAGATTGGTATTGATCATCCAGGCTTAACTTCATATAAATAGGGTCCAATATATAAAGCTTTGATGTGGAACATAGCCAAATAGAGAGAGAGAGAGAGAGAGAGAGAGAGACTGTGTGTTTATATAATCTCTCTAGGGAGAGAAGCATAGAAATGTAGGGCTTAGTATGTCATCTATCTCATCCACCTGTGCTGAGGCAAAACCCAATATACGTAGGCATCCCTGACCGGGTGTTTGTCTAACCCAGTGATTTGCAACCTATGGCCTGAGGGCTGCTTATGTCTTGATCATCAGCTATGGCCCATGTGACATCCTCTGGGATGTGCAGATAGAATTACATCTGGGGGGAATTCTGTGCCACTGTGCACGTGCAGATTTTTACATGATAATTGAGAAGTGTTGCAGTTTTGCCTTTCACCCACAAGAAGCCATTGTGGTTCCAGAACAGCCAGCCACTCACTGTGGTCATCAGAGCACCTGCTCGTGGAGCATGGTTAGAACAGACAGAGTGGGGCATATGGGGCTGCTGAGTGTGTGTGTCACTAATTGGTGTTCAGAAGAGCTAGTGGTGGGGACAGACTGGGACGTGGGCTTAGGAGCGAGTGGAATGACACCATTGTGCAAGGAGCTGCATGGAAGGGTCACATGAGGGTAAAAGGGGAGAAGGCTGCAGGAACACAAGGGGAAGAGGGAAGATGTACCTGTCAGAATAGGAAAGGCACAGGCTTAGCCAGGGTCTGCATGGGGGAGGCGCCGCAATTTTTTAACAATCCTCCTCTCAAAAAAAATCCCTATTCCATACTATCCCACTCACCCTCTAGGCTCTTTTTCTCTCCCTCATATCCTCTATTACCCTGATTGCCCCAAGCCTTTGCACTGCTTCTGAGGGGTGCAAGATGTACAGTTCTGAGGTGCAATTTAAATGAATTACTCCAAATTCTGTATTAATATACCTAGTAATGAATGTTTGTCAAAAACACATTTCTTGAATCTAATTTTTTAGTCTGTATTGTTTCAGATATACTTGCTGATGGCTATTTCAAAATAAATTAACAAAATAATCAAAACTAACATGGTTACATTGTGTTATTTTGACAAATAAAATGTCATAGAATCATAGAATTCTAGGACTGGAAGGGACCTCGAGAGGTCATCAAGTCCAGTCCCCTGCCCTCATGGCAGGACCAAATACTGTCTAGACCATCCCTGATAGACATTTATCTAACCTACTCTTAAATATCTCCAGAGATGGGGATTCCACAACCTCCCTGGGCAATTTATTCCAGTGTTTGACCACCCTGACAGGAACTTTTCCCTAATGTCCAACCTAAACCTCCCTTGCTGCAGTTTAAGCCCATTGCTTCTTGTTCTATCCTCAGAGGTCAAGATGAACAAGTTTTCTCCCTCCTCCTTATGACACCCTTTTAGATATCTGAAAACTGCTATCATGTCCCCCCTCAATCTTCTCTTTTCTAAACTAAACAAACCCAATTCCTTCAGCCTTCTCTCATAGGTTATGTTCTCTAGACCTTTAATCATTCTTGTTGCTCTTCTCTGGACCCTCTCCAATTTGTGAGTCCCAAGAATGCTTGATAGAGATCCTACAAACAGAGGCCAAGGACACCATTTTATCCCCTGGCTAATAGCCTTTTGTGGACCGAACCTCCATGAAATTATCTAGCTTCTCTTTAAACTCTATTATAGTCCTAGCCTTCACAGCCTCCTCTGGCAAGGAGTACCACAGGTTGACTACACACTGTGTGAAGAAGAACTTTCTTTTATTAGTTTTAAACCTGCTCCCCATTAATTTCATTTGGTGTCCTCTAGTTCTTCTATTTAGGGAACTAATAAATAACTTTTCTTTATCGGCCCTCTCCACACCACTCATGATTTTATAGACCTCTATCATATCCCCCCTCAGTCTCCTCTTTTCTAAACTGAAAAGTCCCAGTCGCTTTAACCTCTCCTCATATGGGACCCGTTCCAAACCCCTAATCATTTTAGTTGCCCTTTTCCGAACCCTTTCCAAGGCCAAAATATCTTTTTTGAGGTGAGGAGACCACATCGGTACACAGTATTCAAGATGTGG